TGGTATCGATATTCTATCTGTATAATGAACACTGCACAACAAAATGCAAATGTGTGATAATTGCTAGCGTATAGGACTATTTTTTCAGTATTTCATCAATAAGGTAGATTGCTAATATTCACTGAATTTTACTGGGTGAAATATCCATTTGCAAATATTTCTTTTCGGAAGCTAAGAAAATGCATGCTGGAAAATGAGTCTGCAATTTAAAGTTTATCTCCATTGATATTTTGCTTAGCTAAAATATTTTTAATTGCATTTGCCTTCTGGATATGCAGTTCTTATCATATCAAATTATCATGTAATCTCCAGGGTCTATAACACAACATATGTGTTTATTAGCCAGTAATATCTGATGTGGCAGTTTTAACTATACACGGAGTTAGTCAGCTACCTTTAGGATCCGCATAGATGATCGATTTGAGAGCTGATGTTCCTCTCCCTTTTGTTTTTAAATGCACACAGATGTCCTCAGCAGTGTTCACACTTTGGTGCAGTTTTTTTTTTTTGTAACTCTCAATCAAATTAAATGTTAAATTACATATTGTAATCACATAGTGTACATTTTATACCATGACAAGTTTTAATAATAGATTTTTCTTTTTAAGGAAGTACCTTTGATGCAGTCTCATCAAACAAGAGAGTCTGCCTTAAAAGAAAAAAAAAAAAAGCAAAAAAAAAAAAAAAAAAAAGCTGTTTCATTTTATATTGGAAAAATACAATGTGACATCTGGAGAATAAATTGTTCAGTCAGCCAGAAATACGCCTTGTAAAAATTGCTTAGGTTTCTGTAACAAGATTATTTACTGCGACTGTTCACCTATAATACAGCACACTTCTGAAATGGACCTTTTATGAAACACATCAAGCACTGTGGAAATGTATTCAGTGCATTAATCTACAACACTATGCACTTTACAATACTTCTAGAACAGATTTTGAAACTCACACCATCTAATGAGACAGAAAGCTTTTTCTTTATATTCATTCCAGTCACATTTTATGCTAAACCTTCATGTTATTTAACATAATGCAATAGGGTTTTGTTTTGTTTGTTTTTATAAAATGCAAACAAACACAACATATTACCCTTCAGTAGACAAGTGAGCTCAGGCTGTTCTCTGCTTGTTTCCGTTGCCTGTGCATAAGACAGAAGCCATGTGTACCTTGTGCTCTAGAGCTTTGTAAATGTTGAGGCACCTCAAAATGTATCAGTTTTCATAATGGGCATGTGCAATTAGTGGCAAGAGCCAATCATGACCTTTTAAAGCCAAGAGCCTAATATGGAGAGGGTAGAATTACTAAGAGTCTAGGTGTCTCAATGAAGAATCACAGGAAAAATTGAAGCAGTGAAAGGGACACATTTTCGCCTTGTTCTTAGCACTGGATTTGCAAAGAGCTAAATGTTTTCCATAACAAAATGGTTTCTGGGTCTGAGTGAAGCCATAACTAGAGACAGGATGAAAGCTGATTCAGGAAATATGCAGTTCTAATATGTGTGAATACTTATTGTCTAAATCCCAAGCAAGACAGCCATGAGAAAATGTTTATTTTTTTTTTCTTGTAATGTATGTCATAACAAAGTAGCAAGGGTGATTCTTGGTATGGGATTCATAATCACTGCATTCAAACTGTTAGATGGTTAGTGAGTTAGGCTGCTAAAGCAACAGAAATGGTGATTGTCACAGAAGAGGTATTTTACAGTTTCTAAACACAGAAGGCAGTCTTTAATTGCTTTCTTGCCTGAAAATAGAAAGAATATTCACGACAGGCAATAAAATTGCATGAATCACATGTTGGAATGCTTGATTCAGATATTGGGTCTGGCATATTTTGGCAAGTCAGAGTGTCCCAAAACAACTTATTTTCTCAAGAAGTCCATTACAAAAATGAGAATCAAGATCATAAAATTCCTGAACTGTCAATTGTCATTAGGGATGTAGGTTGTAAGAGAAACCAGATGGAGCATAGGAATGCAGCACACAAGTGAAAAGTATATAAAAATGCACTTAATTTTCAGTTCAACTTTCCTTTTGTTCCAGCAGCATGGTTTATAAGAGGATCTCAGCACAGGTAAGTTAAGGCCTACCTCCAGCCTTTGGGGTATGCATTCAAACCTGCCCAGATCTCCTGCTTGCTTAAATTATATTATTATGGATAGTAGTCCAAAATGCTTGTGAGTTTTTGGAATAGGATCTCAACCAAGAGATTGCAACTGTGGTTGATGATTAGGTTAAAAGAAGATATTACCTTGCTGTTATTTTAAGATGATATGAGTGTGGTGAGGCAATGGAGCATGTTGCCTAGAGAGGCTGTGAATGCCCCATCCCTGGAAGTGCTCAGGACCAGGCTGGATGGGCTTTGGAAAATGTGGTCTAGTGGATTGGAACTATATGCCATGGGTTGAAACCATTCTGTAATCATAAGAGAGAAGTAGCATTATATTTATTGATATAAAATAGTCATTTAACAAATTGTTTCAGATGGCTGGATACTTTTGATTATTGACTGCATAGTAGATAGGTTTAAATACATGTGTCCAGAGACCCTCCCATCGAGTCCTGAGGTGCAGAATGGACACCTTTGCTTTCTGAACTCCTTGAACCACAGAAGGAGGGAGCCCAGGTGCAGCTGAATCCACTCCTAGTCCCAGGCTTGGTCAACAGTTTATGTCGAAGTGATTGTATATGAAAAATAGAAGCTAACAAAGCTTAAAGATACTGTTAGTCACTGAGAATATCTGTAAGGCATCTTGATATCAAGATGGGAGGGACTTCTGCATAGAGGTGACCTTGAGAGCTGTCCCTGCTCCAGGGGAGATGTTGTCAGCACACTGCCTTGAAGGGGCTCTTGGGCTGTTCACTATTTGTAAGATAAGAGAGAGTTTTCTGGTTTTTTTTTGTTTTTTTTTTTGATGCTCAATTGCCCCTCAGTTTTTGTACCAGGTGTCTGGTAGTTAGTGTTAGTTCTTTCAGCATTCAGTTTGAGGCGTCTGTGATTGTTATCCATCTGCAAGACAACCCAAACCATTCTGTGATGTTACCCTTTGGAGAAAGCTAAAACTCATCAACTGGAAGCAATAGGCTATCATTTCTTGAACTTTTAGCTTCTGTTACAGACTCAATGATGGGTAACCCTCCCATATCATCTTGTTATTCTAATACTTGTTTATCTTATTTGTAGTTTGAATTGTGTTTTGAATATATCAACTATTATTAAGTGGATTTTTTTCTATTATTTATATTTAAAAACCCTTTGTTAGGAAATGGAAGTCATTTATGGCAGCCTATGGCAATAGATGATATTTTCAGCCAGAAATTGTCACCTGTCTTCCTTCTCTCAAAGATCTTGCTAATATTTCTTCTGTGTTTTCCCACTTAAATCATCCAAAGATTGTGAGTATTTTTCTTTAGATGACTTCCGATGTTGTCATTTTTGTCAGTCTTCAGCTGTTCAATTCTTGCTGGACTCGTGATTTCCTGCAGATTTTATTCTTTCTTCCCAGAATGATTCATGTTGTTTTCTAGAAACAGAGTCTACTGTACATTTACTTCTTTTGTCATCAGAATACCCATGCCATTAGAAGTAATGCTGCTTCCTGTAATAACCTCTTGTTTCTTGTGCACTTAAAGATGTCATAATTTATCTCAACTATTGTTACAACATTCCTTTTATTTTCCATCTTTATTTGCGTGATTGCTTTTGTACTACGCCCTATTTTGTAGTGTTGGTGCTTTATCTGTCTCATATGATTTATTTTGGTTATGATTTTGTTTGATATCCTTGATTGCCCATATACACAGTGATTTAGAGTTTGTTAGCCAAGAAAATTAAGCATATGCTATCATATAATGCATGTAATTTTAAGTGGGAATGAACAATGTTGTATTTTATACAATTAATATCCTAAAGAAAAAAAAAAGAATTAAAGATGAAACAAAGCAATCATTTTACTCAATATGTACTTATTTGTATAGCAAACAGGGAACTGAATCAAATCTAACTTCAGATATCACTGATGTTTTCTTAAAAACTGAATTAAAACTAAAACACCTTGCTGTGTATGTGTATACATGACAATCAGAAATCAGAATCAAAAGGAAGTTGAGCTAACTCCTCACACCACTGAAACTGTCAGGGCTTTTTGTATGAAAGAGCCGCTGAAAGAACATTTTCCCTGTACATGCTCTGCAGATTGAAGTGCAGCAAGATGAATTTGCTTGTAGATTCATGGCTACAGTGTATGACAGCCTTTAAAACTTCCAGAGATTTTTCCTGTTCAATTTTGATTCTGCACTGATCTTACAATATTCTTCTCTGTGCTCAGTAAGCCTTGGTCAGCTACATGGACTTACTAGGCCTTTGTAAAAACAAACAAACAAACAAGCAAATTTCAGTATTAGAATAAAAATCCCCAATAAAAGGACATGAAATAAACAAGCTTCTTCGCTGTGGAACCTCGTATAAAACACACACAGTAAGGTAGAGCATATAATAGTAACAGTAAATCAGTCACTATGCAGCAAAATGGAAAGGCTGCAGAAATGGAAAAATGCAAAGCATAACACTTGAAATAGGAAAATATGTACATTCTGGAATTAGGACTAGAATCCAAACTGCACGTAATCGCCATTCCTCAAGACAGCACAACTGCTCTCCATGGCTCTTGTAGGAAGCCAGTCCTCAGTTCTGGAGGAATTTGCTCTTTAGCTCCAGTATCAGCCGCCAAATGTTTAAATGATTTGTAGCCACTGTGGCCATTTTTTGTATTCCCTTCAATAGATTTGCCAAATAATTGTAGTTGCAAGTTGTCAAGGAAAGATGCAGATGATGCTAATCTCATATTCCCATGCTGTAACACTGCTATCCAACCCAGTCCTTTGGCCCTTTTCTCTTGACGAGTCATGAGTCAGCTCTTCTGCTGCATTTGAAAAGTATTTGAAAAGGGAGAAGATATGCTGCTGTGCAGTAACTACATTTGTGTGTTTTCCCTGTTACAGACTTGAGCTGACACCTTGACTTCACTGTGTGGGTGGACACAGAAGAGCCATGGAGTATTACCTTCAGCCTTCTCTCAGACATCCTCCCTTGGATTGGTGAGTGGAGCCTCACGTTTGTGCGGAAGGGGGTTGAGGGAGGGGCTGGAACAGCAGAAAGGAGTGTCCTTAACCCAAAACGTGGTGCAGCTTCATGGGCTGTGTGGCAGATCCACGGAGCATCTCGTGGAGTCTCCAAACCAACTCAGACTGTGCGCTGGTGTAAACCATTCTAGGACACCAGTAAGGGAGGAATAACCCAACTGATTGTTTCATTAAAGAAAGTAGCTGGAGATATCAGCCTTACACTGACAAAAGAAGGAAAACTGTATGATGTTTCTAAAAAAAGCTTACTCCAAGTACTAAGTATCAGTTCAGACATGCAAAAATGCATCTAGGTCATTATGAAGAAGCAAGTTTTTGTACCAGATTCAAAACCTAAAGGACTTAAGGAACCTGTATTGGCTGAAAAACTTAAACAGAAATATATATAATTTTCTCTGCTGAAATTTCCATCTCCTTAAAAATATGCAGTAAAACTACTGAAAAGGATTTCCTTCTATAACGTGATCCTAAAAATGATTTTCAAAATAATCTCTGGATATTCAAACGTGCAAATATTTTGTCAGTGTGTGAAAAACAGTTTTGCTCTTATAGGAGAAATGCTCATTAAATTTTCTCAGCTGGTATGGAAGCTAAACACCTGGGTAGATATTATCCATTTCCTTGATAAATGTGGGGCTAAATGTTCTAGTTTTTACAGCTTGAAGCATGATGTTTGATTGTGTAAGGCCTTATTAGCCTGATCTGTATTAGGTTACTTACTAATGATGAAACAAAAGCAAAATAATATGGTAAGAAAATCAGGAAAAATTCAAGAATTAGTTCTACAGCTTGCTTTGCACTCCTACACAAGGAAGTCCAGGCAGGAATTCTGCCTATGTCATACAAAAAAGTAGCAAAATGGACTACGTTTTGAAATAATATGTTTCATATAATTGTGAAACAAATTAAATTGTTTCCCTAGTCATAGCAAGGTCTGCTGTCAGGAGTAAAAGTTGGAGAGGGATCTGGAAATGTGCAAATACTTTGAATTTTTGAAGTTAATTCCCATTGAAGTCATTATGAAAATCTTAATCTTATTTCAGAATTCCATGAGATCTGTCTTTCAACAGTATAGCCTTTGCAGATATGTATCATACACTTACTTAACCTGATATAAAATCACAGATCTCTTTCTCCTAACCTGCTCTCCTCCTCTTTGAGACGGTTGAAATGAATTGAGTTGTTCAGCTCTATTTTCGTACATATCATCTATAGCATAATTTGCAGCATTATGTTACAGTTTAATATTCACTTGAAATAAAAAACACTATTCCAATCAGCTATTGATTGACTAGTACTGCAATACTATAGATCTCTGGCACAACGTAAATTACAGTTTTATATATGATGCCACATTGCAAAGTATTAGCATTCAGATTAAAAACAAATGCACTCTGCCAAGAAAAGCTAGATTTAGGGCCAAAGCAATTGCATTTTGAAATACATTTATGCTTATTTTTTAAAGCATTTCAATTTGTGGAAAATGAAATTGAGGGTAAGCTTTTTGCCTAGTATGGTATACGTCAGGGGCTTACCCCAGGGGATAGAAAACAAGCCATGAAGTTAATTTAGCTTCAGAACTAGACAAAAACCTCTTGGCTCATATAGACAGTGCTCAAGGTTGAGAACAGCTGCAGATCTCTTAAAATCGTGCTTTTCCTGCAAAATCAGTTTTTGTATTTCTGTATGCACCATCTATTTATAAACATTTCTATGGCTATGTAGAATCCTCTTTATAAATGGGTTATTTTAGAAACTATTTGATCCACTTAGAGTTTATTCAGGTTTTTTTCTTTTTGTTTTTTGTTTGTTTTTTTTTTTCAAGGCCAGAATTAAATTTAAAGAGAAAAATCCCTCTTGTAAGATTTTTCTCACACAGTATTTGAAAAGGTGATTTTTTTTTGGTAGAAAAGCTCGTGTCTTTTGATTTGAATAACTGTGTATACATAAGTCACTGTATTGAAAATACTTCTTGTTAAATAGTTTGAATTTTGATCAGAAACAAAAGCTCTCAGTGCTGATTTCGCATTTGTTTTTTTGAGGAAAAGCATCAGCCTTGACTAAAGCAGTTCCTTCAGGATGCATTTTGTCAGCTCTACCCAACAAAATCTACTGTTTTACAGGATTATAACAGTATTTCTAAAAGCAGAAAAATAATATAGAGACCAAAAAGTTGCAAGCTTCCTTGCCTACTTTTTCTTCTACTAAAAGTGACTAAAACTGATGTTCATTTTGTAAAAAGAATTTTTGCATAATGGTTCCTTCTGATTAGAAATCTGAAACTTTGAAATAGCACTATTATTATTTGAAAATGATATCATGTATTGATTCTCCAGGAAGATATAATTTAATAACTGATATTTGTGTGTTGTACCATTTGAATTATGAGTTGTTTTTGTATTCCTTAAGAAAATGTCATCTGGTATATACACAATGTCATGCGGGCGCTCAGGTTGTTTCTGTTGTTGCGTACAAATCTCCTCCATGCACCACACAATTTTCTCAAGTATACTTGGAGGGAAAAAATGTCACTTTATTTTAAGAGTATTTTTGTTAGCAGGTCTTAGGTCAATAGATATCCAACGTGGTGTGAGCATTCATGACTCCAGAATTATTGTATGTTAACTTCTCTTTAGTAGATAGTTAATAACCAACTTTTGATACAATTTTTGAGAAATCAAATAGAAAGAAATTTATTGGTGAAAACCTTCACAAAACATGCTTTGCTCTAAGTGCCAAATGTTTGTTATAAGACACTATATTTCTCCACCCCACTGCTTTCCATTGTCAAGGCTTAATTCTCTGAGCATTTCTCAGGCTCGCTGTGTCACGTTCAAAAGCCACATTCTTTGAGAACCTGAGTTACCAATTTTGTCCAAATATTACAGTGTGTATTTTAATTAAATGGTGCTTTAATTGACAGAACTTAAGTCAAGCACATTAACTTTGTCCAGTTGTCCAGAAATCCCTCTGTTTTATATAATTAGAATGAAGAGCTGACTTGCAGTGTTAATATCAGCCATGACATGCCAGTCTGTGAACATGCATCTGTTCCTGCTTTTTTTTTTTTTTTATTCTTGCATTATTTATCAATTCTATCATTCACTGATGTTGGGTTTTGACAGTCTTCTCTGTAAACACCATGAAGATAAAGGAGTATATGAGTAAAAAGAAAATATGGAGTCCCAGCAGGTCCATGATCTGGTATAGTTAACTAGGATCACCAGCAGGTTATTTAAGACACATATTCAATCCAACATAAAGGGCACACTTACACTGACATTTTCCTGGGATCATTAGGGAGGTTTTGTGACCTACTGATAGTTTATTCAATGTTGTATTGAAAACTAATATATATATATATTTTTTTTTTACACTGAGTGATCTTATAATGATCCATAATATTTTGAGGACAGAGAAGCAGATAACAATAAAACCAGTAAAAATACATGTAGAGATTTCTTTTAGAAAGTCATAGTTTTACTTCAGAATTCCCATTTTGCAATTGGTACTGTGTGGCAGATAATTTTGAAATGCTGCAGGAAGGGACAGGTTTTGAAAGTATCCTAATAATGCTGAAGCAACGAGTGTGGAAAAGATATTTTCCAAACTGTGCCCATTTTTTAGAATCCGCAAAGAGCATCACTGTTAGAATGGAAAATGAGTATTTACTTTGGAAAATTGCTTGCTTTTTGAACAAATCGTTGCTCAAGCTAGAGTGGAATAACACACATCATAAATTAATACTGTTAAAATGAATACTTGATATGAACCCTGGGAAATATTCTTTGCCATCAGGGTTTGAAAAAAGTAGGAGCTGTGCAGAAGCCAAAACAATTTGCATTGCTCGAAATCACGTAGGTTTCCCACCACTGATGAATTAGCAAATGCTTTGGATCAGCTCCATCTTGTAGTGTTGTTAGCGTTTACCTAAAAAGCAATAGTGCAAGAAGGTACAGTATGTGATTTGGAAGCAAGTCAATACTGAAGTTCAATAAGGAATTGTAAGTTAGAAGAGCAAAAAGAAATGCAATTCTGTTGACCCGAGCAGCTGATATCCATCTGATCACACTGCATAGGCCAAAAAGGGCTGTCTGACACATTGCTTCTGCACACCTGTGAAGAGGCATTTATTCTTTTGTGTAAAGCTGCTGAAACCTCATAGGCCAAACTGTCAAAGCCTGGATCTCCTTTCCAGTTCTGGTTCTGTTTTTGTTTTTTCTTCTGGTTCTCCCATGCTTATTTCTTGAGCTGTGCTAACGCTGCTGCTCCCAGAAATGGATGACTTATCTTTTCCAGAAATACTGAGCTCTAAACACTTGTGTTTGTGATACATTCATCAGTTGGCTACCTTCTGTCTTTTCTGCATGAATTAGTTTTATTTTTCTACTCAGAATAGAGAAGGCATTAAGGTTAACCGATGTGAATCATGCATATTATTGGGTTAGGATGGCCAAACGCTGTGCCTTATGCTATATTGTAATACTTCATGGTCAGCATTAAAAAAAACTGATCTGGTGGCAGTAAGTTTAGTTGGTAGAGACGGAGACAAACTCTGCACACATCTTCCATGTGGAGTCTCTCCTCAGCTGTGGTGTCTGTGACCATGAACCCTGGACAGGAGCCATCCTCTGCACTCAGTTCCCTGACCTGAAACTTGGTTTTAACCCTGGCTGGCACTTTAAAGCTGCACATAGAGCCATGATTCTCTATAGCCAAGAAGAGTAATGTTTGAGACGTAAGTATCTGGGCATTACTCTACTGAGACTTAGTCCAGCATTCTGATTAATTGGGGTCATCTGTGAAGCACTCGTTAAGTTGGTCTTAATATCTGAAACATTAAGATTTAAATCACTTGAAGTAATTCTTTGTCAACATTAAGTAAATTTCCTAGTTTCAACCAGTGTGTATCTCAAGAATTTATCTACAAGGAATCTAATTCCTCTGTGAATCTT